TTGGACAGAGCTCCGACGCGGGAACCATGGTGGGTGAGTACGATCCATGTTTAAATATATGTGTGTATATATATATATATATATATATGTGTATATCTCACAGAGTTCATGTCACAGTTTAATGCCTTTTTTGAAGACTTGCTAATGCTACTTTTTAATATTTGATGATAGAATTTGACGAATAGAATTAACAGTTTTATTTTGTGTATGGTGTGTGGCTTGTATGTAGAATTCTGATACCAGTTTTGTGAGTTAGCCCTTCACCCACCAAAATAGCTCAAAAAGCAGCATGCATGTGCATGTGTGAACACACAAACACATGCAAACCCATGTCTTATAATAAAATCAGTTAAACCAGTGTTTCATCTCGGCCCCACCTAAAACTGACACCGCAACACCGACACTGATTTAGAGAAACAGCTAGTAAGTGACGCTTGAGGGATAAACTGTAATTATACAACAGAACAGTCTAAAATTGTTTCTTTTACATCCAGACCAGCTCAGCTCCTTCTACAAATTTGCTATTAAAATTTTTTTTTCCCCCCCAAGACCACTTATGTTTGCCGTATGACTTATGATTTTCTATAAAAAATTGTGCACATCTGATTTGGGTTACAGGTGCAATAATTAAATTCCTGCACAGTGGGATTTATTCATGAAATCATTTGTACAGAATTATTCATAAATTCTTTTTTTTTTTTTGAATTAACAGTGTGACAACATTTAGAATGATTTTACAAAATAATAGAATTATACAATTAAACAATTTAATTAAACAATTAGCATGTTTCATAAATAAAGGCCATTGATGTTGTTGTACTTAAATATTTTTTTATTTGTAAAAAAATTTTTTTTTTTCACCAAAAATACAGTTATACTATTAAACAATTTAATTAAACAATTTACTTGTGTTTCATGAATAAAGCACATTGTTGTTATTGCTCCTAGATGTGTATTTTTTTTATTTGTACTAATATTTTTACAAAAAATACTTGTTATTGCTCCTAAAAGTTGTATTATTCATTTAATTTTTACATTATATGTATAAATGTTGTTCTTAAAACATTATTTATTTATTTATTTATTTAAAACATTTTAATTTTTTTAAATGACAAAATTGCATTTTCCACTTTTTAGGGGTTCTTGACTTTTTTTTTTTCTCATATTGATTGTCAGGTTTGAAGCTTGGGATGGAGCGTGATGCTTACGTCATGATCGCAGAGAAGGGAGAAAAGCTCTACCATATGATGATGACCAAGAGCCGCCACCTCATCAAAGACCGTCGCAGGAAACTTACCACTGTACCCAAATGCTTCTTGGGAAAGTAGGTTTTGAGCATTATGTAATGCATTTTAGAGATTCTCGTTTACAGAGGGGTCCACCTTATGACTGGTCAGTTCCCATGCCGGAGATTTGCTTGCTCTGCGCTGAGTGTGGCACCTTCCCTCGGTTGCTTTTACACCATCTGACTGTCTCCTGAATATCTTGCAAGTCATCCTAATCCAAGAGGCCCCTGCATGAATGAAAATACATACGCACACACATACACACTCACTTAGCACTTGTAAATGCTTTCCCAAGCTCACTGCCAAGCACCCCATTGGACACAGACATTCCCAGCAAAAAAGCCTTCATTAGAGAGAAATCTGCATTCAGTCTCTCTTTCTCTTTCTCTCTGTGTATCTGTCTTCATTTTTCCCTCTTTCTTACTTTCTGTCGCTCGCTCACCCATTCTTTCAACACCATGAATGAACAATGAGTGCTATGTACGCCATTAAACTTCCAAATACTGTGGGAGTGAGTGTGTGTGTGTGGGAGTTAAGAGGAGAGATTCCTTACACCAATTAAAATTCCCTTTTTGCACTGCACTAGAAGATAAGGGAAAAACACTGTGGTCAATTTAAAGCTATTATATTGATGCAATCTAGTTTAAATGGCCGCAAAAATTCACAAGTTCAGATATGAGCCTCATTATATTGATTCATAAATCTGCAGGACCTTTCTGCTGTGCAGTTTTGGGAGCGACTAACTCAAAGTAGCTTTGCTGCTAACTACATTTTCAGTAGCGTGACTAGCTCAGGTTTAAAATGGTTTAGCTTTCACAGTCGCAAGCTGCTTTAGCCAGTGAATAACAATATTGTGCAGCAGAATGCTGTTTTTTAAGATAATGGAACTAAACACACTATCCTAAACTGTTCTCACAGTTGGTAAGTCCAGATCATGTTAGTGAATTTCAGTTGGATTCAAATAAATCACTGAATCATTTTTAAACTCATTAATTCATTGACTCATTAATTAATATTTTTTATTATTATTTTGTAGTTAGATGCCACTGTTCCATTTTTTCCACTCAATTATAGACCTAGTTTTATTTAGTATTCTAGTATTTATTTTTAAATTATTTTTTCAGTACACACAATTTGACTCTGATTGTGATCCTTTTTCTATTTTTTTAAAAGGCTAGTTTGACTGTAGTTCAAATACAGTTAAAGTAGCACTTCCGCTGAAGTGGCTTAAAAGCGAACTGTCGCTGGCCTTACGGCCTCAGCTGTGCTGTTGTTCTCCTGTCAACAGCTGACTGGATGAATTTCGCACTGCTCCCTCAGAACACAATTATTTGTGCATTTCAGCCTCGGTGGTCCAGGTGAAAGCAGCTGTGATTGGCTCTGTTGTTCGCTGGCTTGTGCATCAGTCTCAGAATAGAACACAATCCCACTCCTTCCAGGAACAGCCGAGCAGTTCAGCTGTTAATATGGACAAACTCTCTGCTACTGCTCAGACTCTGGCACTTTCTCTCATCTCTGGTTCTTTCTTTGTCTTGCTTGAACCACAGTTAATTTTCCCCATTGTGCTTATTTTGAAGAATTTGCTTCAAAATATGATGAGATTTTGTTACTTAAAACATTAAAACTATATTTTGAAGTAAATGTTTTATTTCATTTCATTATTTCATTTCATTTCAAACTTACTGCAAAGACCTAAAGCTTTATTGGCATGGTAAAAAGCTTAAAATGGCCAAAGCATTAAAGGAATGTTTCTAGTTCAGTACAACTAAAGCTCTATTGAAAGCATCTGCTGTCTGTATTCAGAGAAAATAATTTTGACTTGTCCCTCAGTTTGCAAAAACAAACAATAAGTTGCATTTATGAGACTGGTATGATAATATTTTTCACTGACCTTGTCTATGTAGAGCTATCCAGTTATTAAACTTATGTTGTGAACATTTAACCATGACAAATACTTGAAAGGATATAAAAAAAAGTGCTGTTTAGATGAAGGTGAATGATGAGTGAAAAATACACCCACAAGAAAAACATGGGTAACGCATAATTAAAAGTTAATCCATTCAGAACAGCAGTTCCACTGCTTAAGAATGTTTTTTTGCAGTTCAAATAACACATTTTTCTATGTAAGAATTAATATGTGCTTTTATAGATATGCAAGCTTCACATTTGTCTTGCATTTCTGAACTCTTAAGTGTATTTCAGTAAACGTTTATATTCTATTTCATTCAATTTAAATTTTTTTTTACAAACTGAGGGACATCGCAAAATTATTTGCTGTGGTAATCAAGCTTCACTTGTATTAAGTAAATTAATATCTCATTATATCCTTGTCTGTCACATTCATACATGCATACATACATCGAACAGATATAGATAGAGAGCTCTGTGTGCGTTAGCTGTGGAGAATATTAATGAGTTACATAAACACTAATTAATTCACCCCAGGGACGCCCACCTCCACCCCTTCCCTTTCCTGCCAATCTGAATTAGAGACTTATGTAATCACAGCAGACTCACTGTCTGTTTCATTTCACTGCTCTCTTTCATGGGCCTGACTGGCCTCTCCTCTCTGAACTTCCTCTGCAGAGCTGCACATAAAGGCTTTGTAAGATCTCCACATAATCCACATCATAAACATTTATTGTTTGTATTTTGTGTGAAGTGCTGGATTTTGTGATTACTATCCTTTTATTGATATAAACATTTTTATTTTTAAATTATTTTTTCAGTACACACAATTTGACTCTGATTGTGATCCTTTTTCTATTTTTTTAAAAGGCTAGTTTGACTGTAGTTCAAATACAGTTAAAGTAGCACTTCCGCTGAAGTGGCTTAAAAGCGAACTGTCGCTGGCCTTACGGCCTCAGCTGTGCTGTTGTTCTCCTGTCAACAGCTGACTGGATGAATTTCGCACTGCTCCCTCAGAACACAATTATTTGTGCATTTCAGCCTCGGTGGTCCAGGTGAAAGCAGCTGTGATTGGCTCTGTTGTTCGCTGGCTTGTGCATCAGTCTCAGAATAGAACACAATCCCACTCCTTCCAGGAACAGCCGAGCAGTTCAGCTGTTAATATGGACAAACTCTCTGCTACTGCTCAGACTCTGGCACTTTCTCTCATCTCTGGTTCTTTCTTTGTCTTGCTTGAACCACAGTTAATTTTCCCCATTGTGCTTATTTTGAAGAATTTGCTTCAAAATATGATGAGATTTTGTTACTTAAAACATTAAAACTATATTTTGAAGTAAATGTTTTATTTCATTTCATTATTTCATTTCATTTCAAACTTACTGCAAAGACCTAAAGCTTTATTGGCATGGTAAAAAGCTTAAAATGGCCAAAGCATTAAAGGAATGTTTCTAGTTCAGTACAACTAAAGCTCTATTGAAAGCATCTGCTGTCTGTATTCAGAGAAAATAATTTTGACTTGTCCCTCAGTTTGCAAAAACAAACAATAAGTTGCATTTATGAGACTGGTATGATAATATTTTTCACTGACCTTGTCTATGTAGAGCTATCCAGTTATTAAACTTATGTTGTGAACATTTAACCATGACAAATACTTGAAAGGATATAAAAAAAGTGCTGTTTAGATGAAGGTGAATGATGAGTGAAAAATACACCCACAAGAAAAACATGGGTAACGCATAACTAAAAGTTAATCCATTCAGAACAGCAGTTCCACTGCTTAAGAATGTTTTTTTGCAGTTCAAATAACACATTTTTCTATGTAAGAATTAATATGTGCTTTTATAGATATGCAAGCTTCACATTTGTCTTGCATTTCTGAACTCTTAAGTGTATTTCAGTAAACGTTTATATTCTATTTCATTCAATTTAAATTTTTTTTTACAAACTGAGGGACATCGCAAAATTATTTGCTGTGGTAATCAAGCTTCACTTGTATTAAGTAAATTAATATCTCATTATATCCTTGTCTGTCACATTCATACATGCATACATACATCGAACAGATATAGATAGAGAGCTCTGTGTGCGTTAGCTGTGGAGAATATTAATGAGTTACATAAACACTAATTAATTCACCCCAGGGACGCCCACCTCCACCCCTTCCCTTTCCTGCCAATCTGAATTAGAGACTTATGTAATCACAGCAGACTCACTGTCTGTTTCATTTCACTGCTCTCTTTCATGGGCCTGACTGCCCTCTCCTCTGTGAACTTCCTCTGCAGAGCTGCACATAAAGGCTTTGTAAGATCTCCACATAATCCACATCATAAACATTTATTGTTTGTATTTTGTGTGAAGTGCTGGATTTTGTGATTACTATCCTTTTATTGATATAAACATTTGTGAACATTTAACCATGACAAATACTTGAAAGGATATAAAAAAAGTGCTGTTTAGATGAAGGTGAATGATGAGTGAAAAATACACCCACAAGAAAAACATGGGTAACGCATAATTAAAAGTTAATCCATTCAGAACAGCAGTTCCACTGCTTAAGAATGTTTTTTTGCAGTTCAAATAACACATTTTTCTATGTAAGAATTAATATGTGCTTTTATAGATATGCAAGCTTCACATTTGTCTTGCATTTCTGAACTCTTAAGTGTATTTCAGTAAACGTTTATATTCTATTTCATTCAATTTAAATTTTTTTTTACAAACTGAGGGACATCGCAAAATTATTTGCTGTGGTAATCAAGCTTCACTTGTATTAAGTAAATTAATATCTCATTATATCCTTGTCTGTCACATTCATACATGCATACATACATCGAACAGATATAGATAGAGAGCTCTGTGTGCGTTAGCTGTGGAGAATATTAATGAGTTACATAAACACTAATTAATTCACCCCAGGGACGCCCACCTCCACCCCTTCCCTTTCCTGCCAATCTGAATTAGAGAGGGACTTATTCACAGCAGACTCACTGTCTGTTTCATTTCACTGCTCTCTTTCATGGGCCTGACTGACCTCTCCTCTCTGAACTTCCTCTGCAGAGCTGCACATAAAGGCTTTGTAAGATCTCCACATAATCCACATCATAAACATTTATTGTTTGTATTTTGTGTGAAGTGCTGGATTTTGTGATTACTATCCTTTTATTGATATAAACATTTACAGTTTTTTATTAGTGGTTAATGCAGCTGCTTAATATTCTCTTCTTTGTGGTAGCATTATTTTTCTGTTCAGAAACTTTCTGTTTTGGAGATTGTACTTGCAAAGACCACAAACTTGACACAGTGGTCTCAAATCACACCCACTGCTCCCACATACACATTGTGCTTATATCTCTGGAACCATATGAGCAGCAATCAAATTTTGTCCCTAAATCAAATGGTCATATGAATTTCCTCTTCCGTAATTTTGAGTATTCTAAAAACCTTTCAAAATTTGTTATAGGCTTTTGGTCCGATTCGCACAAGATTCACTATGTTTAACCTAAAATCCCTCACGATAAAACATTATTAAAGAAGGTTTGATTAGTCAAATAGTTTTGCAGATTGATATGTGGCTAATTGACCTAAAGTTTCTGAATGAAAAATCCAGGTCTAACAATTTACAAAACTTTTACATCAGAATGTCAAATTTAGGAAATTTAGGAAAATGTACAACTGTGTTTAAGGAAGTTGGCATTTACCACCAAAACACAGAATCAACATGATCTGCAATATTATTCACAATTATGCTCATTTCTCACATATATTTGTAGTTGCTAGTATTGTTGAGTTACATAGACAAGTGGTATTAGCTAGTATTGTTATTGCTGTCATGTGTTTGATGGTGAAGGGTAAAGATTTATCAAGGTTAAGTATTTTAAGAGTTCATTAAGTTGTGCATGTTGTCAGCTGATTTGGAGGAGATGTAGAGGGCAGATCAGTTGTGTAGTCAGGTGAGACATGAATGGAGAATCTGGTCGTCTTACTGTACTGGGTGGATGTGGGGTGCCTTTGGCACCCGCATCTTCTCTTCTCCACCTGCTCCATCTGTTAACCCATCCTTTCATCCGACCCCTCTCCCCTCACTGCTGTCGTTCAACATTTCAAGGACACACGCACACACACCCTTCTCACATTTCCTTTAAGGCGTCATAACTGTTTACACATTGCTTATTTCTGTCCCTGAATCTACTGGGATTCACAGTTTCTCACGCAGCAGTCATGCACATTTCAGGCACGCAATCACACACAACATTAAATTCGCCACTAAACCACCTCGGACATGCAATTGCTGAAATTCCTCCCCAGTCCTCATCAGAACCCGTTTATAATTTAATTACTCCTCTTGAAAATTTATTTTGGCAGTTGATCAGACTATAGCTAGTGACATATAGTATCTAGAATTGCGTGTGTGTTTGTTTGTTTGTTTTTGTGTGTGTGTGTGTAGTTGTGCTGCTTAATATTTTTGTGGAAACGTGACAGATTTTTTTCAGGATTCTTTGATGCATAAAAAGTTCAAAAGAAAAGCATTTATTTGAAATAAAAAATCTTTTTGAATGTTATAATTATTTTACTGTATCTTTTGATCATTTTAATTCATCCTTACTGAACAGAATTTCTTTCAGAAAATAACCCTTACTGACCCCAAACTATGCTTTACATATCTATACAAAATTATATTATAGATATAAACAAAACAAAATTAAGATATAATTAGATTTTGGATACAAAATACATATCAAACTTGTTTATATCTAATATATTTTTTAGATATCTTATATATTTAGTTAATAAACATATACAATTCCACAACATATATATTTATTTATTTACATTAAATTTATTTCAATTTTATTTACATTTTTGGTTGTTGAAGTAATTTCCTTTTTTAAAACTAAAACAATATGTGAACCCCACTTGTGATGTTTGAACTTTTAAGTCCTTAAGAGGGTGGAATGCAGCTTGATATCATCTTGATTTGTGTTCTTGGTGAACTTTTTACCAGTCTTGACCAGTCACTCTGGAGGATTGAGTGAATCCAAGTTCCCAAGTACCTTTGACTAGTGGCTCATATATCCCTTCTTTATCATGCGTGCAGCATTATTATGAGCAGACTGACACCGCTGTTATCTCTGTGTGTCCTCAGTGAGTTTGTCTCATGGCTCTTGGAGAGTGGAGAGATCAGTAAGGCTGAGGAGGGAATCAACCTGGGTCAAGCTCTCCTGGAGAATGGCATCATCCATCATGGTAACAGAAGGTTCTCCTTTGAATAAAATTGTGTTATTACCTTGACTTGTTGGGCATGGACCATGGTATTACAATAGTATAATTTTGAATTTCTTTAGGGGACTATGTAAATGTGAATGTGGTACTATGGTATATATCCAAATTCCATAGTTGTAATATCTGATCTTAGGATATTCTAAACCTACATATTTTCAAAATCGACCAGTTGGTGGGTTCCATGAGCATCTTTCAACATACTGGAAGCCCTATATCCATAGGCTATAAATAGCTAAATTTATACATAAACAAGACTAATGATTGACTAGTCAACCATTGTGACCCATCACTGTACCATTACTATTTGTAAGCACTATTACTTCATACAAATCTATTATTCTTTTTCTCTCTCAGTGTTTTCTCTTTTTTCTGTCTTTTTTTTCTTTCAACCTCCCTCACCTCCAGTTTATTTAATCATGTTTTTGAGTATTGCTAGGTTTCATCACCAAAATGCAACTGCTGTCTGTGTTCTGTTTTTTTGATACACTCTTGCCAAATGAAACACAATCCATTAACTGTTTATACAAATGTTGGACCGTTAAAAATCACCATTTGACAGATTTATACTCTACAAATCTGGCATGTATCCCTGTTGGCCAGCACTCACTGATATCCCCTACAGATGATCGGCAGTCTGGATAGTAACATGACATGAAATGCTGGTAGAGAACAACATTCTTCTGAATAATTCAAGAGGTGTGGTGTTTGCCTGAGATTCGGGGAGCATCATACCTCTATTTTACAGCCAGGGGATTGTAACACAGTGAAAACTGACAAACACCAGAAGGGATTGGAGTGATAAATTCAAGTATAAGGGCTCAGGCGCTCAATCAATAATATGGTGGCAGCATTCAAGGAGAGGTCAAAAAGGCTTTTGTGGAGCGATGGCACTCACACACTTCAATTAATCACAGACCTCCACATGCATGTTTATCAGCCTGAGTCTGAAAGTGAGAGAAACAAATACATCACAAGCTTAATCCCTGCTCATGGTGTTATGTTAGAGGTGAAGTTTACTGTTTAAGCATGACCTAATTGTCACTTAAGTGTATCTGTGTGTGTGTTTTTCACCATAGTGTCAGATAAGCACCAGTTCAAGAATGAGCATCCTGCTCATGGTGTTATGTTAGAGGTGAAGTTTACTGTTTAAGCATGACCTAATTGTCACTTAAGTGTATCTGTGTGTGTTTTTCACCATAGTGTCAGATAAGCACCAGTTCAAGAATGAGCAGGTGTTGTATCGCTTTCGGTATGATGATGGCACTTATAAAGCCAGGAGTGAAATGGAGGACATCATCTCAAAGGTATTTCCCCCAGAATACTTGATAAATATGATAGCTCATGTACAAGGATACATGAGATAAGGTAAATACCCTTTTTCGCAATGATCTCAGTGAAAGAATCAATCCAATATGGTGACAAGAGAAATGTGATTATAAATTTCATTAAATACTGAAAAGTATGCTTAAAAAGTTAAGTGTAATTAAAATGCATTATTTTCTCAGTATGTGTGCGTGCTATCCTAACATTAAACTCTTTTGGAGTCAAGTTTCACATGCGCTGTTTGTGCTTGTGTGGAAAAATTGTTTGTGTAGGCAGCTCACTAGGTTTTGATCCTTTTTAACCAGTCAGTTTACAGATTTAGTCAACAGAATCTTGAGTGCATATGATCCATCTCAATAATTAAAGACTACAAAATGGTCTACTTAACAATTGTTGTCAACAAATCAATCGAGAAGTGATTTAAACCGTTAATGAAATGCAGAAAGAGATTCAGCAGTTGGTGCAAATTCTTTATATGAGTTTGTGTGTGTCCCTGACAGGGAGTGAGGCTTTATTGTCGTCTCCACAGCCTCTTCACACCTGTTATCAAGTAAGTGACACATGATCTATGAAATACTTCACGCTCAACAGACAAAAACATTACTTAATTCACACTGTCATTAAGGGTTTAAGATGATTTGTAGGCAAGTTTCAGACAATGTTTTGTTAGCACCCTTTTCTTGCACATGGACAGCAACATTACATTTTATTTATTATCTCTTTTATAATTAAATCCAGTTTATAGTTAAAACATCTTTTGACAGCAGATACAAATGGTTTTTAATAAACAACAGTTTAATTTGAACTGTCATAAAAGATTAGGCGCATTTGTTTGTACTTCATGGATTCACCTTGGCCAGCTGCACATGACAGAATGTATGTGTGTGTGTGTGAGGACTGCAGAGTAGTATTGCTTTTCTGTCACCATTCACCTTTGATATCTCACATAATGAGTGAGGAGAGGCCACCGAACTGCAGTTGGGAAAAACTCTGAACTCAGATCCACAAAGTAACACAGAACGTGTTACTTGCCCTTTAGCAGATGCTTTTTATCTTTTTAAGCGACTTACAGTCCAGGTCACTAATTACACCACACTAATTGCAAGGACAGACCACCCTGGAGCAATCTGGGACCTAGTGGTAATAATTTCGCTGTGCTTAAACCCACAACCTTTGCCGCTAAATCTTTCAATACCCGCTTCAACACAATCAATGAATTTTGGCAATCCAAGACATTTCCTTTGTCATTATATAAATTATATTAGAAGTACAAGGCCTAATCTGGGTTTCTCCAGTGGTTTATCTTGTTAGAAATGCCCTGCTCCCTTTGCTTCTCTTGTAGTCAGATGTCAGATGTTGTTTATGTTAGCATCTGGACAATTGTGAACCTTTTCAACCTCTTCTTTATATACAGAGACAGAGATCATCATTTGAAAACCTTCAAATCTGTCATACCAGCTAGCAAACTGGTGGAATGGCTTGTGTCACAGGTAACGTGAGGATGGACACACACACACATATGCCACTTTATTGCATAAACATGCACACACAAACACACTCCTTTTTACTTTCTTTCACTTTCTGTTCAGCTGTCAGCTCATTGTTTTGGGGTTTCTGTACACAATTTACATTTTACTTATTTACAGTCTAATCTTCACAGTTGCTCCATTATGTCATTTCATTCCAAACACAGAAGTCATTTAACATGATTTTCCTTCTTCAGGGTGACAGCACAACCCGTGAAGATGCAGTGACCCTTGGTGTCGGACTCTGCAATGCTGGTTTCATGCACCACGGTCAGTCACTATGTTCACATATTGACTGTACTTGACAGTCTTCGTATAAAATCATGATGAGGTTTTGGGTCAGTTATTGTTATAATATCCGCAGATTTTAAAGAGTGTGATCAAATATTTTTAGTTACCCAGATTTTATATGAAAAAAGAAATACGCCATTCAAAAACTTGAAGATTAATGAATTACTCCACTTCTGGTGGCTGAAGTCAGCATTAAAGGGGTCATATGATGCGATTTCATTTTTTCCTTTCTCTTTGGAGTGTTACAAGCTCTTGGTGCATAAAGAAGATCTGTAAATTTGCAAAGACTAAAGTCTCAAATCCAAAGAGATATTCTTTATAAAAGTTAAGAGTCAGCCACACACCCCTAAAACGGCTCGTTCGAACACGCCCCCACATATCTACCTCACTATGTGGGAAGATTTGCATAACGCCGCCCAAATGTTCACGCAAAGAAAGAAGGCGTAACTTTTATTCTCGCTGTAGTATTGTTGCCGCTGCCGCCATGTCCTGAAGACGCTGTGTGCTTCGTTGTGAAAGCGAAACTACTTTGTTTGGTCTTCCAAAAGAGGACGATATCCGCTTCGTCATGCCTAGAGCTGATCTGTGCTGGTCGCTGAGGAAATACTTCAACTTAGTGCTGTGGATCGCCGGCACATTTTATGGAGGACTGTTTACTGATCCTGGGAGAGTAACGTTAGACTAAAATGCCGGCAGTTCTGACTAACGTAAGTACGTTTTCTTTTATCATTTGCCACTGATGATTCAAACGCGAGTTTTGGGCAGTGTGGAGTAGCACTTGTTGTTTGTCATTTCTCTGATCACAAATACAGACAGGGTTTTATGTTTACGCGGCACGATGCAACGCAACGCGTAAAAAGACAGTATAAGTCATTATAATCAGTAATTATGTCCCCACTGGATGCAACAAATGCCTCGTTTGTAATGGGTTTTAATGTTTTTGTGCTCCGGCTGGGACACGCCATCACAGTATGTGAGGGGCGTAACATTTCCGTCTCACGCTTGAGGTATTCGGCCAATCACAACGCACTGGATAGCTGGCCAATCAGAGCACACCTCGCTTTTTCAGACCGATGAGCTTTGTAAAAATCGACGCGTTTCAGAAGGCGGGGCATAGAGGAGAAACAATAATGTACAGTATGTGGAAAATAATGTGTTTTTTTTACTTTAAACCGCATAAACACATTTCATTACACCAAATACACAAAATAATGTTCTTTTTAGCAGCATCATATGACCCCTTTATATGATAATTGACTTATTGAATTCATCATATATTTTATTGATCATACTATGAAGGTTTCATTCATCCATGTTTATATATTATTACAATTTTAGCCTAATAATTATTCATCAAAATGTCACAATGCAATCTTTCTGTGAAACAACAGAATTTTCTCTGGTGGTTTGTGGCAAATTCTCCAGTCATTTAGTTTCTTACAATCAACTGTTGGACTGAACCAAGTCCCTACCCTACATTTTTTTTTTTGCTAACCTATTTCACTCAGGATATAAAATATGTCATTGCATTTATAGGTGAAATGTACATGTACAAATGGGCAGTCGTAGCCTAATGGTTAGAGAGTCGGACTTGTAACCCGAAGGTCACGGGTTTGAGTCTCAATACCAGCAGGAATTGTAGGTGGGGGGAGTGAATGACCAGCGCTCTCTTCCACCATCAATACCACGATTGAGATGCCCTTGAGCAAGTCACCGAACCCCCAACTGATCCCTGGGTGAATTCCGAATATGGGACACGATACTTGGCCACACGTCATGTCACTTTCACTTCACTTTCTGTGCCTTTAGTGACATCAGATGAAATTGTAAAACATCAGATTTTGCCATTTCGTGGCCTTTTCTGTTTGCCGTTGCTACACATGTGGTGTCCATAGCAAAGCTTTGAAGCGTGGCAGTGTTTGTGTTTGAGAAAGAGTGAAAGAGTTTTGACTTGTGGCAGCACTAGAGCAGTCTTGGAATTATAATGCAACATTAATTAATCTAGTAGTTGTGCAGTGTTTTTAAAAGAGCAATAAGCCCCAAGAAGCTGTGGTTTACAGTGATTTTGAACAACTAAGGGGCCCCTAGTAGCAATGCAATTTTTATAGTGATGTTTGCTGTTTTAAAATCACTGTAAACCACAGCTTCACAGGCTTATTGTTTTGAGAAAACGGCTACTACATATACCTGTCAGAGTTTCATGAAATAAACACACAGCATCAAAAACGTAACAATTTATTGATAAATAATAATTCTTACAATGTAGCAATTTATTTCTTCAGCTATGTTTAGCAGAATGGTTGTCAAGCAACACATAGATGAAGTGATGCAGTGTAGTACTAATGTAACAAGGTCAAAAGTGTATGTTTGTATGGTATTTTACAGTTTAGAAGGCGACTCAGCCAATCATCTTTTTTTTTGTCTACATTCATTGATCCGTGCATTAAGTGCAGCACAGTTTTACAGTTATGGCTTTTTAATATCACACTGAATGTGTCTGCCAGAGGTCTAGTTTGTTTGTACGAGAGACATAGAGAGTAAAATTAAGAGAGATGACTGTGTTTTAGATGGAAACAGCTGTCGCAATAACATCTGGGGCCTCTGATAGAACAGAAATAGTCACAATAGTGGAAAAGAATGTTTTCTGATTAGATACACCTGCTCGTAGACACAAGTCTCCTGTCCGAGTTATAGAAGAGTTTTGCAGTCATGTCGGATCTCAACTTCCAAAACAATCCACAGCAATATTTTGCTTAGAATTCACAGACAGAACAGCCTGTCCCTACAAAGTTCCTGAAAACACAAACACACTATCTGTCACCGTCTTCCTTAGAGGGAAAAAAAGCACACTTGCAAACGCCAGACTTCCCATTAAATCCTCTGCCTTCATCCTTCACCTCAGACATCAATCCCACAGACATGAGTTGTTTTGACGGAAACTGAAGGGTGATGCAGTCAACTCATTTCACACTGTCAAATCATTTTGCCATCAGCAGATATGATCAGCACTGAGTTATAAGTGTTTTGTTTTACCTGTTTATAAAAGTGTAAAACTGTTTTTTAATTCAGTCTCAGTTAAATTCAATTCTAAACTTTGCCTTGCAGTCCTGGAGAAAAGCGAATTTAAGGATGAGTCACAGTTTTTCCGCTTCTATGCCGATGAGGAGACCGAGGGTACGAGCTCCAAGAGTAAACAGCTTCGCAGTGACTTCAAACTCATCGAGAACATCCTTGCCAAATCCTTAGTGGTGAGATACACAGACACGCACACAGCAGGGGTTTCTCCCCCGTGGAGAGCTGTGTTGAGGGATAACTAGCAATGCTGCAAACTTAACCGTATTTTTCAGTAGCGTGACAGTAGCTGAACTTAATTCGAAATGCTGTAGTTTTTGTAATAACACGAGCGTAGCTGTTTATATGTCGCTTTATAACCCAAGTGAACTTGGGCATTAAAATGATCAAAGGTTCTTTCCTGTCATTTCTCTCAAATGTAGCTTTGATTAGTTTGATTCATTCTTGTAAATCAGTTTGTTTGGACAATTCATGTAAATCAAATGGTTCAAAAAGTATTCACTGATTTATGTGAGTACAACTGTGGTATTTTATGTCATTTTTTTTTGTTGATAAATGATAGTTCATCATTGTTCAAATTTGTTATATAAATTAGTTTTTAGTTGTGTTAATTAAATTAGTTGTGTTAAGGGGTGTAACACTTGATGCAAACTTTCTTCAAACACTTCAGCGGACGAGATATGACATCTTTTTTTTCAAAATATACATTCAACATGTAACAAATTATAATAAATCCAAAATTTTAAAATATGCGATCTACTCCACTTTCCTGTTATACTCATAACCTGCAGCAAAAGTTTTTGTTCTTTTATTTCAGCTAAATGTGACATATTGATCTTCTGTTGGTCACATATGAAACTAATTCACAGGTCAGAGTTCACCAAATGTGTGTCCCACATTCATATGAATGGAAGTCAGTGCCTCTTTAGTTGTATTTAGTGTAGTCAAGATTAAGATGCTAATTGAGGTCCTGTTCTCATAGTAAAAATAAGTTTGACCTCAGTTTAACTGCTTATATTATGTGTAGCTTGACAAGATACGGAAGATATCAGATTTAGATTATTCTCAGTTTGACCAACTTGGCCCAGTATCAACAATACTAATGTAAAAGGAAAGAAAAAAGAAAGAAACCTAAATAAGAAACCACACCCACCTATATTTTTAGACACATATTCATGCCACTAAACCATCAGCCATGCATTTAATTTTCTCCTCCTGCCAATTAACACCCTCCTCGTCCATCAGTAATTACCCTGACCTTTACAAACTACTCTTTCATCCCTTATAGACTGACAGATTCCTCCTCCAGATCATCAAACACTTTCTCCTCTCTGTTCTCATCTCGATTTACCCTCCTCAGTTGGCCCTCTCAGACGTCAGGACCGTACGCCACTGCAGATTTTCAGAGAAAATAAGGATTGATGAATAGAAATAAGACAAAAAAGGCATTTACAGGGCTGGTAACCATGTTCTGCTTTGGCTCTTAGATAATAAAAGCACATAAAAGCCCATCTCATGTGTAGCTGTGGAGAAACTGAGCATTATATCCTTGTTATGATCCAGATTTGTCCTAAAACCAGTGTAAACTTTCATCCATGATAACGCCTTTATCACCTGAGCTGACCTGTTAGCATGCAGCTGTGGCACATTTGAACAGATTATTGTTTGGTTATTTTTAGAAGAAAAGACTTAATACCTCAAATAGCTTTTGGACTACAGGATGCGTAGCTTGTTCACACATTTGCACAAATGCTTCTGCTCTCTCAGTGCGGCACCGAGCTGCTAAATCATAATTTGAGTCCTGAAAGTAACACATTCTTTTCCGTTCCGTTCTGCATTTATTTTGAGACGTTACCATCATTATTCATTTTTTGACCCTTGTGCTGATATAGTGTTTCTCTCATCCGTGTACAGATCCATCCTGAAGAGGAGGACTATGGGTTTGAGATCGAAGAGAAGAACAAGGCCATCATAGTGAAGAGTGTGACCAGGGGCTCATATGCAGAGGTATGAGTTTGAGTAACCGCATCCTAGTTCTCCACATTTCTCTGCCCTATACAAAAAATATCATTGACTGAGCATAACCCAAAATACATGCCAATGGTTGGCTTGAGTCTCACAGTCTGCCACATTTGGGATTTCCCCAAGTAAGCTGTGTTTTCTTTCTTATAAGGCATTTCCACCCAAATTATCTATCTATCTATCTATATATATATATATATATATATACATATATGTGAGCTGGTAGCCTTCCATAGAGAGTAACAAAACCTAAACAACTCTTTTCACGTTTCACTGTCTGATCATCAGTCACATTTAGCACTGGTTCATTGAAGTAATACTTTATTATTTAATTTCTAGCAATACTGTATAATCAAAAAAGGCTTAAAAAAACGATGTAAATGTAATCGCTAAATGAGACTTCGTTTTATATCTAGAACCTTTTTTGTTAACATAAACGTTATATTCATATTTGAACTATGCAATTTCATAAAACCTGTCCAGAAAATGTCATAATATTTCACTCCAAAATGGAAAGACAAAAATAATATGCTGATTTAATGCTGAAAACATATTATCAATGTTGAAAGCAGTTGTGTTGTGTTGTGTAACAGTTATAAAGTGATTTTTATTTTATTTTTTTTCAGGATTTTATTTTTTTCAAGGAAATGCATTTCTTTGAAATATTTTGTAACATTATAAATGACTTTACTGTCACTTTTAACCAATCAGTTTATGAAAGTATTAATGTTACTGACAAACTTTTGAATGCTAGTGTACATTATTTGAAATATTATTTAATCAAATAATAGTAAAAGTAATTGGTGTTTCATAAAATTTGTGGAGAATGATAATGATAATTGCAAGGGGGGAGTCAAACATGTTTAATTATTCTGAAAAAAAAATAGCAGTGCAAAAAAACTAATCAAGATATTAGTAAAGATAAAACTATAATATAATTAGATAAAACTATGCAAAATATAATTTCTTATATATATATATTTTTTTTTAGATTTTGGAGTGAATAATGTCTATTTTTTTATATCTGTCATTTGAAGGAGGACCTCTTCAACTCGAATGCGTTATTTTCAGTGCACAGGGTTATTTGTGTTCATGCTCTGTACAGCTCTGCCAGATGTTTGTGGAAGATGTGTAGATAATTATGGTTAAGATCTAAACCACCACTAATTTTATCCCCACTGTGCCTATTAGACCTGACACGAGACCTTTTGTCCACTTTAATGTGTCACACTGCTGTTCACAGAAGCATCTGCAGAAGATGAGAGTGTGATTGTAATGGTGATTAATCCAGTGAATGAGTGGAAGTGCTTTATGTCCTGACACTTACAGATCATGCGTCGGGTCCTGGACATGCTTGCTTAATTCATTCCACTCCCTCTGTCTTCACAGCTCTGCTCTCTGGAGATCAGGGAGAAGCAATTAAGCATGTCCCATCATATTTTCCACAGAGTCCTCACACTTACCTTTTTTTCCCCCTTCTGTTTCATCAGATCTTTTCCTTCTTTCTTGTTTTTCATCTCTTTTTTTCTGTTTCTTATAGCTTACAAGTGTTTTGGCTTTTGTTTCTTTCATTAATTTCTTTCTTTCGTTCTTTCTTTCTTTCTTTCTTTCTTTCTTCCTTCCTGCCATTCATTAGTTTAATTTCTTCTTTCCACATTTCCTTCTTCCCTACCTTTCTTGCTTTTTTCATCCATTCCTTTTTTCTTCCCTCCACACATTTTTAATTGCACTTTCATTCAAACTGCTTGGTAAACTGAAAGTGCTGATTATATATTTTTTCAAGCTATATAAAGCCCTTTTGCCATAAAGGTGTGAGGTTCTCTCAATTCTGTCTGCCAATTGTCTAATCCTCATTAACATATCACTCATCTCTCTCCCAATCCTAATGCACATCAAAGAAAATTGTTATGAGTAACACCCTATTTTATTTTTTCCCCCTCATTTTTGATTGATTGTCAGCTGGATTCTTTGTATTTATTTCCTTTTGTTTTCATGTTTTTTTTTTGGTGCAGATGGCAGGCCTTCAGCCGGGTAGAAAGATCTACTCCATTAATGAGGACCTGGTGTTCCTGAGGGCCTTTTCTGAGGTGGAGACCATGATCAACCAGTCCTTCTGTATACGCCGCTCTCTCAGACTGCTGGTGGCCACCAAGAACAAAGAGTGAGTCCAAGTTCACGGCAGAAATCAGATACTTATGCACAGATGTGTTAAATGTAGCCAGGTACAGTGTAAAATGACACTACTGGTATTAGAGTTACATGCAGGAGCGCAGCACACTGCAGAACACTGTTTTTTTAAGAGTATTCATTAATGTTTAAACATGCTGGCACTTCTTATTCCTCTGACACTTTTATGTGCCCCAAACAATGATGTTCTTGAAAAAAGATATTTTGCTAAGTAACACAGAATACATCTATTACAACAACACTCTTGCTCATGTGATGTTACTTAAATAAGATGGACAAAAGAGCCTAGCTTATGTGCTTATCTCATATCTTTGTGTGTGTATATGATAGGATTGTGAAGATCCCAGATGTTCACGGCACTCTTCCTTTTGTTCTCTGCGGTTCTTGTCCACCTTATGTTCATGCAGTGAAGAAAGGTGAGTTCTAATTGATTGTGACGAACAAAACAAACATGCACATCATGTCACATTCATTTGCAAAGTGATTATGCCCTCAAAACCCTGAGCCATTCTGTTTTTGTTTTTGTTTTTTTACATAAATATTCTGAATCAAGGAATGCATTGCATTCCCTCCATCTAACCTGCCAGGCAGATGTTAGTGTACTAAAAATAAAAAGCTTTCAAATAAAGCAATTTCGTGACACCAGGCTGCTGTGGTCATGTGATCAACATCTGGAGCTCCTCAGCATTTGAACCCAAACTCAGAATCCCTGCACATGTTTCTGGATTTAAAAAGCGCACTCTAGGAGCTTTTTGAAGTCAAAGCCGTTAGCTCATCTTCACGGCACTTAGACAAAAGTAGAGATTTATGATGTGCCATTATGGGAGCTTTCATCACTTTAAGTGGATTAGAAAGTGTCTAGACTGGTTTGGATTTGCCTACATGTAATATATACAACCTTCTGACTTCAAAATCATCCATTTGACTTCTTTAATTTGTTTGGTTTAGGTCATTGTACATTATAGGCATCATTTTTGCGTGTATACAGGCTCTGAGGCAGCAGCAGCGGGTCTTCAGCCTGGTCAGTGTGTGCTCAAAGTCAATGGCAACAACATGAACCAAAGCAGCTACCAGGAAGTCCTGGAGCACTTTAGTGGCCATCAGCCTGTCCTGGAGCAGCAAGACACTGTGAGAATCAACACTGCATTATGTTTAACACTGCATTATGTGTTCTTTTTATAGGCTGTGTGGCCCACATATGGTGATCCCAGAGGTTATTTGCTTCTGACACTCTATACAGTACCTGTTTCCTCCCTTTGTGATATCGTTTTTTTCTTCTGCTGCAGAGCTGTGGTCAGTGGGCGTACCGTGTGTATGAGGATGTGGAAGAGCAGATGTCTTTCAGGGGGTGTGAGAATGGCTCAGATTCAGAGGATGGCTGCACTAATGGAACAGGTAGTGTGTGTGTCTGTATGTTGGCAAAAAATTATTGTCGTTAACAGAATACAAAAGCCATGGGAACTGTAGATCCAGTAAAATTGTCTGATGAAGAGCCTGCATGCTCGAAACATCACCTATGTGATAGTCTGTTGTTACATTTTTGTATCTTTGGAACCCAAGTGTGCCGACTTTTTTCTATTTTCATGATCAGTTTTTTGTTTTGAGAGTTTTTCCAGGGATGTGCACAATGTGCTGAACTGTAGATCCAGTGTCATATGCATTTGTGAATGCAAGCTGTGACCAATGGCGAATCATTGATGTCATTGATCTCTTGAGTGAATTCAAATTAATTACAAATCTCTCGAACCTGACTTCGTTTTATATCTAGAACCTTTTTTGTTAACATAAACGTTATATTCATATTTGAACTATGCAATTTCATAAAACCTGTCCAGAAAATGTCATAATATTTCACTCCAAAATGGAAAGACAAAAATAATATGCTGATTTAATGCTGAAAACATATTATCAATGTTGAAAGCAGTTGTGTTGTGTTGTGTAACAGTTATAAAGTGATTTTTATTTTATTTTTTTTCAGGATTTTATTTTTTTCAAGGAAATGCATTTCTTTGAAATATTTTGTAACATTATAAATGACTTTACTGTCACTTTTAACCAATCAGTTTATGAAAGTATTAATGTTACTGACAAACTTTTGAATGCTAGTGTACATTATTTGAAATATTATTTAATCAAATAATAGTAAAAGTAATTGGTGTTTCATAAAATTTGTGGAGAATGATAATGATAATTGCAAGGGGGGAGTCAAACATGTTTAATTATTCTGAAAAAAAAATAGCAGTGCAAAAAAACTAATCAAGATATTAGTAAAGATAAAACTATAATATAATGAGATAAAACTATGCAAAATATAATTTCTTATATATATATATTTTTTTTTAGATTTTGGAGTGAATAATGTCTATTTTTTTATATCTGTCATTTGAAGGAGGACCTCTTCAACTCGAATGCGTTATTTTCAGTGCACAGGGTTATTTGTGTTCATGCTCTGTACAGCTCTGCCAGATGTTTGTGGAAGATGTGTAGATAATTATGGTTAAGATCTAAACCACCACTAATTTTATCCCCACTGTGCCTATTAGACCTGACACGAGACCTTTTGTCCACTTTAATGTGTCACACTGCTGTTCACAGAAGCATCTGCAGAAGATGAGAGTGTGATTGTAATGGTGATTAATCCAGTGAATGAGTGGAAGTGCTTTATGTCCTGACACTTACAGATCATGCGTCGGGTCCTGGACATGCTTGCTTAATTCATTCCACTCCCTCTGTCTTCACAGCTCTGCTCTCTGGAGATCAGGGAGAAGCAATTAAGCATGTCCCATCATATTTTCCACAGAGTCCTCACACTTACCTTTTTTTCCCCCTTCTGTTTCATCAGATCTTTTCCTTCTTTCTTGTTTTTCATCTCTTTTTTTCTGTTTCTTATAGCTTACAAGTGTTTTGGCTTTTGTTTCTTTCATTAATTTCTTTCTTTCGTTCTTTCTTTCTTTCTTTCTTTCTTTCTTCCTTCCTGCCATTCATTAGTTTAATTTCTTCTTTCCACATTTCCTTCTTCCCTACCTTTCTTGCTTTTTTCATCCATTCCTTTTTTCTTCCCTCCACACATTTTTAATTGCACTTTCAAATGAACTGCTTGGTAAACTGAAAGTGCTGATTATATATTTTTTCAAGCTATATAAAGCCCTTTTGCCATAAAGGTGTGAGGTTCTCTCAATTCTGTCTGCCAATTGTCTAATCCTCATTAACATATCACTCATCTCTCTCCCAATCCTAATGCACATCAAAGAAAATTGTTATGAGTAACACCCTATTTTATTTTTTTCCCCTAATTTTTGATTGATTGTCAGCTGGATTCTTTGTATTTATTTCCTTTTGTTTTCATGTTTTTTTTTTGGTGCAGATGGCAGGCCTTCAGCCGGGTAGAAAGATCTACTCCATTAATGAGGACCTGGTGTTCCTGAGGGCCTTTTCTGAGGTGGAGACCATGATCAACCAGTCCTTCTGTATACGCCGCTCTCTCAGACTGCTGGTGGCCACCAAGAACAAAGAGTGAGTCCAAGTTCACGGCAGAAATCAGATACTTATGCACAGATGTGTTAAATGTAGCCAGGTACAGTGTAAAATGACACTACTGGTATTAGAGTTACATGCAGGAGCGCAGCACACTGCAGAACACTGTTTTTTAAGAGTATTCATTAATGTTTAAACATGCTGGCACTTCTTATTCCTCTGACACTTTTATGTGCCCCAAACAATGATGTTCTTGAAAAAAGATATTTTGCTAAGTAACACAGAATACATCTATTACAACAACACTCTTGCTCATGTGATGTTACTTAAATAAGATGGACAAAAGAGCCTAGCTTATGTGCTTATCTCATATCTTTGTGTGTGTATATGATAGGATTGTGAAGATCCCAGATGTTCACGGCACTCTTCCTTTTGTTCTCTGCGGTTCTTGTCCACCTTATGTTCATGCAGTGAAGAAAGGTGAGTTCTAATTGATTGTGACGAACAAAACAAACATGCACATCATGTCACATTCATTTGCAAAGTGATTATGCCCTCAAAACCCTGAGCCATTCTGTTTTTGTTTTTGTTTTTTTACATAAATATTCTGAATCAAGGAATGCATTGCATTCCCTCCATCTAACCTGCCAGGCAGATGTTAGTGTACTAAAAATAAAAAGCTTTCAAATAAAGCAATTTCGTGACACCAGGCTGCTGTGGTCATGTGATCAACATCTGGAGCTCCTCAGCATTTGAACCCAAACTCAGAATCCCTGCACATGTTTCTGGATTTAAAAAGCGCACTCTACTGTAGGAGCTTTTTGAAGTCAAAGCCATTAGCTCATCTTCACAGAACTTAGACAAAAGTAGAGATTCATAATGTGCCATTATGGGAGCTTTCATCACTTTAAGTGGATTAGAAAGTGTCTAGACTGGTTTGGATTTGCCTACATGTAATATATACAACCTTCTGACTTCAAAATCATCCATTTGACTTCTTTAATTTGTTTGGTTTAGGTCATTGTACATTATAGGCATCATTTTTGCGTGTATACAGGCTCTGAGGCAGCAGCAGCGGGTCTTCAGCCTGGTCAGTGTGTGCTCAAAGTCAATGGCAACAACATGAACCAAAGCAGCTACCAGGAAGTCCTGGAGCACTTTAGTGGCCGTCAGCCTGTCCTGGAGCAGCAAGACACTGTGAGAATCAACACTGCATTATGTTTAACACTGCATTATGTGTTCTTTTTATAGGCTGTGTGGCCCACATATGGTGATCCCAGAGGTTATTTGCTTCTGACACTCTATACAGTACCTGTTTCCTCCCTTTGTGATATCGTTTTTTTCTTCTGCTGCAGAGCTGTGGTCAGTGGGCGTACCGTGTGTATGAGGATGTGGAAGAGCAGATGTCTTTCAGGGGGTGTGAGAATGGCTCAGATTCAGAGGATGGCTGCACTAATGGAACAGGTAGTGTGTGTGTCTGTATGTTGGCAAAAAATTATTGTCGTTAACAGAATACAAAAGCCATGGGAACTGTAGATCCAGTAAAATTGTCTGATGAAGAGCCTGCATGCTCGAAACATCACCTATGTGATAGTCTGTTGTTACATTTTTGTATCTTTGGAGCCCAAGTGTGCCGACTTTTTTCTATTTTCATGATCAGTTTTTTGTTTTGAGAGTTTTTCCAGGGATGTGCACAATGTGCTGAACTGTAGATCCAGTGTCATATGCATTTGTGAATGCAAGCTGTGACCAATGGCGAATCATTGATGTCATTGATCTCTTGAGTGAATTCAAATTAATTACAAATCTCTCGAACCTGATTTGACTATTAGTGTTTTCTGTCTAACAGAATCACTGATAAAAAAGGGCATTTATAATATTACAAAAGATTATATATGTAACTATTTATGAACAATTTAAAATAAATCTAAACTGAAATTAAAAGTAAAACTGCACAATGAAATAAAAATAAAAACAAGTGACAAAAAAGATAATTGACCTTTTTAATGTCATTGTAATGTAATGCAATGAAAAATGGTCCTGTAAACATTTATCTGTGTTCCTATTGGATTCTTTATACTTGTGTGTTCTTTGGATTTTCTAGGCTCTGTAAGAAGGCTGGAACAGTTGTCCATCACTGACGATGTTCCTTCAGTCAGTCTGAATGTGGATAATGTTCATGTGGAACATGGGGTTGTGTACGAGTACGTCAGCACAGCAGGAATCAAACACTGTGTGCTGGAGAAGATGGTGGAACCCAAGGGCTGCTTCATCCTTGCTGCAAAGGTCCGACCACGGTTAAATGATAAATGCATAATTTCTGAATTTTGTTTCTGATGACCCATAATTGTGCTTCTGCTTATACTGTATATATTAGATTTCAAGATGGACATTTAAGGCTACATTTACACTAGTGCGTTTTCGTTTGAAAACGCATAACTTTTGCTACGGTTACGCCTGTCATTTACACTACTCCGGCATTTTCGACCCTCGAAATGTAGACTTGTAAAATGTAAAAATGTAAAATGTAGACTTTCGAAACCGCTACAGACCCCGTTTTAGTTTGAAAACTCCGGTGTTGTGTTTCAGTGTAAACGGACCAAAACAGAGACTTTTGAAAACGATGGGCGTGGCTGCCAACATTCGCTTTGCGTATCCTTGACGACCGTGTAAAAAATAACATCATGCTCATTGTTGTACCTGCATGAATGGTCTTGTGACATGCGTTTTCGGTTGTGCAGTGTGGATGGAGATCGTTTCTGAAACACAGTGATAACGCAAGTGTAGACGAGGATCGTTTTCATTTTGAAGCGCCGTTTTAAACCGAAAATGCACTAGTGTAAACAGGGCCTAAAAGAAGTTGTTTTTCTAACCTATCACATGTTCTTATGTGTATTTTGAATGCTCTCAGATACTGGAGGCCTTTGTGAAGGACGACAGTCTGTTTGTAAAGAACTGCCAGCAGCTAATGGCTCAGAATGAGAAGGTGGTGACCATGCCACAGTTTGAGTTTCGAAACATCTGTGACACCAAGCTGGAGAGCATAGAAAAACGCATTTGCAGCTACAAACAGGTGTGACATCTGTCTTGCTGTTACTACTTTATCATTTTGTCATATTCCCCAGTGCACCTCATATGGGACAATATCACAATGTTTTGAGACATGAATGACAGTTTTTTTTAATGTAATTGATATTTAAAAATGGAATAAAAGGCATTGAAAAAAAACTATGCAAATGCTGTCTCATAGTGCTTTAAAATTCATTTCCTGTCAGTTTGTGGAGGAATTGCAGACAAAGGCCTGGCCCATGTTTAAGCAGGCGAGCACTAAACCTCATGTTCTGGGCTGCATGGACTTCGTCCCCACCAACTGTCATCTGAACCTGATGCAGGTGTCCTGCCCGAAGAACACCTCCTCAGCAGGCCGAGCCTTCAGCATCCGCTTCGGACGCAAGAACTCCTTCTTTGGGCTTGATCCTGATCAAGGTACACATAGTTATGATACCATTTATAACTGAAGGGATTTATTACTAAATATTATATTATATTTAAATATTAGATATTCTTCTATAATACATTTTAATATTTCTGTTTCTCATAAAAGCTCAATAAAATACGTTATAGAGAATATATACTGTTTAAGTCCGAGAAATGACTTTTGATTAAATACTGCTATGTTAAAATCACTCAATCAGTGTGGATTCAGCTCATTGGCTCAGTTAACCAAGTCTCCATGTTACAATTATTGAAAGTTGTAAAATAGTAATTAAGCTTTATGGTGAAAACCTCCCAGGTCTTGTAAAAATCATGGCCTGCTATTCCCAAAGCAATCCAGAACCTTTTAAAGCACCTCCATTAAGACACCATTAGACCATAATAAGTAGCTTTTAGTGATGTCATCCTCCACTGTCCCATAGGTCTATAGTCATCCACTCCCTGCAGCCTAACGCCCGCATCTCTCTCTTATTATGACTGTTTGATTTTTGTTTATGAGGCCTGATGCTTTATTTAAGAACATAAACATTAAGTCATTTTAGCTTTATCATCAAATAACAACACAAACTCAACACACCAAAGCTAAACAATAGAGATTTCTGTTTCTGCTGGCCTGGTTGGAACAGTTGTTCAGATTTGTCCAGATTTTTCTTGGAATAAAAATTATAAAATTTATTTATAGCAATTTTTATATCATTTTATTATTATTTTTTTTTTTTTTTTGTTTTAGTTTTCTTTATAAAAAAAATATTATTAGCAACAATACCTGTAGATGATACAACTTTAATGAAACTGCTTTACACCTATAAATTAATAAACCTTTTTTTTCTGGATTTAGTTGATTTTCAAGCCATGCCGACTTGTGCTTCCAAGACTTTCAAATTCAAGCTATCCTGCACTTGTCCAAAAATTTCAAGACTAATAATATTTAGCTAAATTTTCAAATTCAACTGGGCATCCCCTAGAACTTAAAGAGGCAAAGCATCTGGCTTTCATTTTTGGCTTCACCTGCCTAGATTGCTGCGGTCTTTCTTGGAATAAAAATTATAAAATTTATTTATAGCAATTTTCATATTTTATTATTATTATTTTTTTTTTTAGTTTTAGTTTTCTTTATAAAAAAAATATTATTAGCAACAATACCTGTAGATGATACAACTTTAATGAAACTGCTTTACACCTATAAATTAATAAACCTTTTTTTTCTGGATTTAGTTGATTTTCAAGCCATGCCGACTTGTGCTTCCAAGACTTTCAAATTCAAGCTATCCTGCACTTGTCCAAAAATTTCAAGACTAATAATATTTAGCTAAATTTTCAAATTCAACTGGGCATCCCCTAGAACTTAAAGAGGCAAAGCATCTGGCTTTCATTTTTGGCTTCACCTGCCTAGATTGCTGCGGTCCAACTTTCTGTCTAGCCGCCACGTGTAGCTGGGAAAAGAACCACAAAATGCTTTGTTTCTTCTGCTCCTCAGCACGAGAGCTTTTTATTTTTCAGTCTCTGCTGCACATCTGCTCTGCAGTTGTCTCACGGTCAGAGATGTTTAAAATTCCTCCGGTACACTTCTCTGCAACCTAAAGCCTCATGGTCCATGGCTTTACCACATGCAAGAGTATGCCTCACTGCTTTTCAGCCATTCAATTCTTCTGTTTTATTGAGTCACACAAACTCCAAACGTACAATGCTGTGTCCCTAGACAGCATTTTAAGGCATGCGCCCAGCATTGCGAAGTCTGAGTACCATAATTATGTCTTCTAAGATGCCTTCTTTAGGCCAAATTGTAAGGCGGCATCAGTTATATTTTCTAGATTGCAAACTCTGTGACAAAAGAAAAAATCCAGGATGCTGTTTGAATCAAGAAAAGTGACTTTTTTTTTTCTTATTGATTAATGTCACTTATTTTCTTACTGCAGCCAATGTGAATCCCATGTCCCAGGCTGTGCATTGCGTAACCAGCATGGCGGCCCCCTCCTGGAGTTGCTTGAGTTTAGATGAAGAGACGGAGGAGGGTGAAGGGAGCACAGAGGACGGCAGGAAGCATGAAGAAGGAGGTCTCAGCTTCCTCCTCAAACAGGAAGACATGGAGAGCCAGGACAATTACATCTGCCTCTATAACCGCCTGGACATATCAGTGCGAGAGATGAAGCAATACGTGGCCCAGATAGATGTGTAAGTGGTGAAGTAGTTTAACAGAGTTCAAAATAACATTAAAATAGTGAACTATTGAAAATGAATTAAAATAGCGATAAATTGAAAATGAACTAAAAAAAAATGAAAATAAATTTCTATAGTGAATATACTTTTTAATCTAAAATAAATTCTAAGATATTTAATAATCTACAACATTGTTCTTTTTAGATTGTGAAAAAGTCATTGAAATGTAACTGCACATTTGGTAAAAAAAACTAAAATTTACAACTTTCTCAAATTCTCATCTGAAAGCTCAGATTAGGTTTTAGTAGCCTCCTCTTTGAGTTCTTCGAGTTCAAAACTTAAGGATGTTTTTTTATGACAGTCTAAAAATATTTATGGCTTAGACAGAAAAAAATGTAAGACTGAAGCATAACAAACGACTGCAGTGGAGACATTTCAACAGCCTCTCAGGAGGAACGAATGTTTGTTATTCAGTAGCTAGCATGTGCTGATGTAGAATTTAATTGTCAGTGAAATGAAGTCATTTCCCTGTCTCATTCCCAGTGCCTTTCTGTCAGTCTACACTTCCCTGTCTCATTCCCAGTGCCTTTCTGTCAGTCTACACTTCCCTGTCCCATAAAAAAACAAAGCTCATTAGTGAAATAAAAGGGTGTTTCTTCAACTAGAGGCAGTTTTGTCCTTATTGTCTTAAAATACCCTTAAAATAAGCTCTCTTAAAACACATTTCACACTCTCACTAGTTTTGTCTCACTAATTTGTCCATTAACGTCTGAAAATAGAGTAAATAGAGTAAAAACAAAAATATAGATAAATATTATTGCAAAATAAAATAACTGTTTTTTAAAAAGTAATTTATTCCTGTGATGTCAAAGCTGAATTTTCAGGATTCTTTGATGAATAGAAAGTTCAGTAGAAGTCTTTTGTAACAATGTAAAGGTCTTTACTCTTTCTTTTGATCAATTTAATCTGTCCTTGCTGAATAAAAGTATTAATTTCTTTGAAAAAATCTTACTTGTCCCAAACTTTTTTAATTTAGTGTATATAATATTATATATAATTTAGACATTGCTCAAATTTATGATCAAAATTTTAATTACGATAAAATGAAATCATCTGATAATGATCCCTTATTTTCATAATTTTTATCTGTTGATCTGCTCCAGCTGCAGGTAACATTAATCATAAGTGGGCAAATCAACTCATAACTTGCACAGGTTCGGTGTCAAAACACTCTTATAATTCATTAGAACAGTTCGTGTCGATCTGTTTCGAAACCTCTCTAAATATGTTTCATCTTAGACTTCTGTCATCGATAACTGGACCGACCCAGCCGCAGGGCTCAGAGCCACCCTTGTTTGAGAGTGCCCCCTCAACCTCACCCATACAGGAGGAGACGGACCAAGACAAGACGGAGCATGGCGGGAACAAGAGAGTGTGCTTCAAAGTCAACGAAGATGATCAGGAGGACTCTGGACACGACACCATGAGCTACAGAGACTCCTACAGGTGAGGAAAAGTTTGTGAGATAATATTTATGAAACATGTTGAAGCCTGGGTTCTTAAATAAGTAATACAGGCTCGAGTCCAACCTGCAACATGTCCTGATCCCATTACCTCTCTGTTCTTTATCCGTCAGATAAGTTTATAATAATGACGATATTGATAAAATCACCAATTTTATCTGATTTGAGAGCTTTATATTGACTCATAATAACATTTTGTTTTCTGGGAAATTACATGATTTAAAGATGATTTAAAATCCCAGTCTTCCTTCAGCACGTGTGAAGCAGAGCGAGTGAGCAAGACGGGGCTTCTGGGCTCCTGTCTGCTCCTCCTGTCAAACAGATGTTGCTAAAACAGACACGTAGGGAGACGATAAACATCCCTCACAAAGAACCTGTTGTGCCACAGCAACCCAGACGCCCTCTTTAACCGCTTAAGAATATATTCAGTCACTATTGTTATGTCATCATTATATGGAGCAAAGTTTGTTTGGTTGTGATCTAGACCTGACGGAGCAGGGCAGACCTGAGGCTGACCACAGCCGGGTGGATTTTATGCTTCTGTCAGGATAAACGAATGCCTGCTTTTACACCCTCTATCATTATGTGGCATTCTGCTTTAAAATCCTGCTACTCTGTGATAGGGTGAGCTCATGAACAGCTGCAGCCATCATGAATTATAGATAGAAAAGTTTTTTCCTCTATTTAGGCTCTTACTGTAAGTAACTGGATTTGTTTGTGGGATGTAGGTTAGGCCGCCTGTTCTTGTTGTCGTGAGAAGAGGGCTGGCTTTTAGGGAACATGAACTTTCAAGGGTTCAGGAGGTTGAATGGTAAAATACAAGGGAATGCTCCTTTTTTCCCTCTCTCAATTTCTGGGAGTGTTGCAACCTGCTGGTCATAAGCTCGATCTGCTTCCATTCTTGGCTTGTGGCGGCACTATATTTGTCCTCCCCTCTCATTGCGGGGTGGGGAAAGGGAACTACTTCTACTCTTTCTATTACTAGTGCGTAGTCTGGGCAAGTCTGTTTTCCCTCTCAAGCTTTTCTGGAACACAAGAAGACATTTCGAAAGTTTCATTCTGTCTCAGAATAAACATTTCAAGGCTGCGAAGAAGGCGTCCACCTAAACTTGTGGATCTTATTAGATAGGCGTTTAATTGTTGATGAAGTTTGTTGATGTTTAAATCGTTGTGAAATGACTTCAGCACTTATAATCAGTGTGGAATTGTCTTAAAGGGATAGTTTAACAAAAATGTACATTTCTATTATCATTTACTCACCTTAATGTCATTCCAAACCGTTATGACTTCCTTTCTTCTGTAGAAACCTGTTAGTTAACCTAATTTAACCTGAACAGCCTAAGCTAAGCATTATTAGCTAATCAAAATCTATAATTCTGAGCCCAAACAAATTGATTAATATGTGTTCAACCACTGCCCTGCCACTGTATTGCAGATAAAATGAACAGGAGTGAAACAGCCATACAGAGATCCTGGAAAGTTGTTTGTTTCAGTGAAGTTTTCCTTTATATTTGTAATTTTTCTTCAGAATAATTACTGAACTTCGCATCAGTTTGATTGACTATAATGCTTTGAGAACGGTTAAAAATTTTTTTTGTAAATGATTAAAAATCTTTTCTTTTTTTTTTTAAATATTGGTAAAATTGGAATTGGTCTCTGCAGGCATCCTTTTCATCACATGAAGACATTTGTATTTGTGTGTTTTCACAGTGAATGTAACAGTAACCGGGACTCAGTGCTGTCATACACCAGCGTCCGGAGCAACAGTTCATACCTGGGCAGTGATGAGATGGGCTCAGGTAACTGTCTGTCATCTGTCAGATGCGGTTACAATGTTGAAATTCAGGACAACTACTAAAAAGAAATTGCTACTTTTATTTTGTTTTCCAGGAGATGAGTTGCCATGTGATATGCAGATCCCTTTAGACAAGCAGGATAAACTTCATGGATGTCTGGAACACCTTTTCAATCAGGTATAATGATTTCCCTGCTGATAAATCAAACTTTTAGTCTCTTTTGCCAATTTAAACTTGATATTCCCTTTGTAACTGTTGCCCTTTGTCTGACACCACTCACCTCCTTATTTTGCCTTCTATTTTTGTTCTTCATCAATACATCCCCTCTTAGTTTCCCTCTCTTCTTCATTTCTAACTCCCACAGTATCGTTTATCACATTACCATCATGTCTAGTGAGCACTCTTTGACCTCTGCACCTGTGCTCTTTGACCTCAAAATCTATCGTCTTCTGGAAGTCACCGGATTTTGACCCCTCTCAATTTCCCAGATATCAATAATGAGCTCTTTCATCCAGTGCAGACAGGTTACATGTGGACAGACTGAAAGCAGCAGGCCTGACGTTAGCAAGGGTGTTAGCCGGTCTTCAGTTAGTGCAGGATGTGTGTGGTGACAGGCTTAACTGTGTCTTTTTCATTCTCAGGTTGACTCTATCAACAGTCTCCTTAAGGGCCCTATCATGAGCAAAGCTTGCGAGGAAACCAAGCATTTCCACACTGACCACAGTCAGCCAGGTACCGCCCGGTCGGGGTGTGCGTGTGTGCTATATTTACATGCTATGTTTGGAAACTCATTTGAGGGATGTGTGTATTTGGGTTCTCCGTTAGTGTGTGGGGGACTTTTATAGGTGGGTAGGGGTGTGTGAATGTTTCTGTTTGCATCTGTCCGTTATTACCTCTGCATGCAAGGGTACCACAGTAGTTTCTCCTATGTGTTTTATGTATTTAAAAATAGAGGTCTATATATATACACCATATATAACATTTTTACCCCCACTTTTGTTGTTTAACAGAGTTTCGGCACACAGATGACTGGACTGCACGTTGGCGGTATGTCTTGCACAAGAACATCCAGGAGGACCCTTGGAACCTGCCCATTTCAATCAAATCTTTAATTAACAGCCTTCATCGCTTCGTAGAGGGTAGGTTCAAGCCGTAACGATACTTAGTCAATATCAGAATAGCTCTAATTACTTTTTTAGCACTTTTTTTTAGTACTGGTGTTATTGTGCACAAATCATCAGCGTACATTATTTTAATGCCGATTCATGTAATAAAATTTGCAGTAATAATGGCAAATAACTGATTTGAAAAATGCTACCATTGGAGTATGTCAAGATACCATTGGTGTTTTAGGAGTCCTTCAAAATCAATTTAAAACTTGTATTCAAGTTAAACTTGAGAGGCACTCTTTAAGAAAACCATCTAGCATGTTAACAGAAAAACTATGGAAAAGCAGTTTCCCCATTATTATTGGTAAAAACCAATACTAGCTAATCCAAATCCTTACACTATTTTGTGAATGATTACAAATTAAAAATTACACTGTTTATATTGAGATTCACTTTTTTAGAGCGCCTTGTCATGTGCCATACACTGCAATAGACAGGCATCATGTGTCTGTCCTGTATTGTTATGCATTGGGTTGTATTCATGTCTATTTGTAACTGTGTTGCAGATGGAAGGAGTCAACTCTTGTTGGCATTGCTTAAATGCACTGGTAAGATACTCCTAGATTTGAACCTTTCCCTTGTTGAACTTGACCATTGTAGATCATTTCAAATATCTATTGAAAGTCAACTCAGAATGTTTACTTGGTCATGCACTTGCGTCATCATCTGTGTGAGACTTCAGAAACGCAACTGCAGTGTGTGTGATTTATCATCCCTACTGTTCTGGATTGTGCTGTATTTACAGACACCTCTATGTGCTGTGATATGGGAGTGTTTTATTGGAATTCTGTAGCAGGGAGTGTGTACAGTTTGTGTGCATGCAGTCAAGTTGCAGTGGGGTGTGTCTGTTTGTGAGCTTCTGAGCGAGCAGTAGACACAGATAAAGTGAGAGAACGGAGAGAGTGGGTTTGTCCCGTGGGGTCTGTGGTGGGAGACATATGGAAGCTGTTGAGCGTTTGCTTTGGAACCTGATCTAGAGCCCTTATCCCTACTGCTCCACACAGACAGCAGCTCCAATCCCTGTTCCCACCCAGTGCTGCTGTGAAACCCACCATCTGCTTAAAGTATTACACACTCTTAGCACGGCTTACAACTGTTTTAGGATTTTCAGGATTCCCCTCAGACCGCTCTTTGGGAGATATATATATATTTATATATATATATATATGCACTTCTGGTTAGATGCTAACTGCATTTCGTTGCCTTGTACCTTACATGTGCAATGACAATAAAGTTGAATCTAATCTAATATATATGCTGATCTGTGAACCGTAAATTAATCCGTATTAGCGACATCTGCCAATTAAACATTAGAGGAATTATCTATAAAATGGCAGTTAAAACAGTAAAAATAAGCACCGTTAGTAATGGCTTCTGACCCATACATACATTTTAAAGGTCTTTGAACAATCATCATCATCATTTGAAGTGTTTTCTCAACAAATATTGATATATGCAGTTAATAATGACTTATAACTATTAATTTCATGTGATCAGTTTGATAAATAAAATACAATATATTAATAGAGAACCCAGGGTGTTATAAACCTGTACAGTACATACTGTTCAAAAGCTTGGGGTCAATAAGATTTTTTTTAAAGCAATTAATACATTTCTTGTAAGATTGAAATTGATTAAAAGGGACCAGAAGTGACAGTAAAGAAATTCATAATGTTAGAAAGATTTATATTAAAAACAAATGTTGTATAATCTTTCCAATTATCAAAGAATACTGAAATAAATGTATCATGATTTCCACAAAAATATAAAGCAGCACAACTGTTTTCAACATTAATAATAAAACAAAATGTTACTTGAGCAGCAAATCAGCATATTAGAACGATTTCTGATCATGTGACACTGAAGCCTGGAGTAATACTGCTGTTTGTACTGTATTGTTGATCAAATAAATTCAGCCTTGATGAGCACAAGAGGCTTGTTTCAAAAACATTAAAACATCTTGCCAACCCCAAACTTTTAAGCAGTAGTGTATCTCTTCACCAGATGTACTGAATATGAATATACAATCATATTTATAATATAATATAATGTTTTATATTATAATTTACATTATAGTTTAAACAAATGATTGAGTCAAAGACAAATATTTTTTATTTGTATGTATGTTTTATTGACTCTTAAAAATGTGATACAAACAAGAAGTGAAAAATGATCAAATATTTTCCATGCATAATGAATAAATGTGAGTGTACACACATCTATACATCTATTTATACAAATATCATGAATTCTTTTCTACTCTTCTGTCACAGACACAGAACTCCAGTTGCGGCGGGATGTCATATTCTGCCAGTCTTTGGTGGGGGCGCTGTGTGCATTAGCGGAGCAGCTTGTGAATGCGCTGAACCTGCGTTTCAACAATAACGGAGAGTATGAGGAGGACAGTAAAGAGGTCAGCCGTAAATGGCTGGAGCAGATCGCCACCATCGGAGTGCTCTTTAACTTCCAGTCAGCACTCTCTCCACATGTGGTGAGACATTACCAGAAGTTACATCTTCTCATAGCTGATTCAGTGACAGTCATCCAACAATGTCTCAGTGCTTTCTACTAATATACACAAGCATGATAATAATGTTTTAGAACTGAATCTTGAGACTAAATACAGAACCAAGGCCATCATATCCTGGATTTTCCTGAATGTGTGCAGTATTGTTTCAGTCATATACTCTCCTGCGTCAGCATGAAGATCTGGATTATTTTGGGTTTACAAACTGTTTCCTTTAACAGAGAGAAGAGCGAATCATGCTTGAAGATACAAAAGCAGCACTGCAGGATCTGGAGAAAGTCACTGTGCTGTTCCGCCCACTGGAGAACGAGTGCCTCGTCCCAAGTATGACACCACACCACACCACATATATTAACCCATCGAGTAATAGATTGTCAATCACAGTGCCAACAGAAAAATACATCTAAATATATATATATATATATATATATATACACACACACAGTTTTTTATTGTTTGTAACTCTTTCTCTTATCCAACCTTAATATGCAAATACGAAGAAAGCCATCTGTAGATTGATTTACCCAATAAGAGTAAACACTGTGATGCTATAAAAACATTGCTCATCCTGACCATTCAGACGCTGCAACATTGGATCAAGTAGTGGCGGGCTATCTTTTCACTAAGCCAATGGCAGACAAAAGGGGTGTATGTTGCTGAGTTTAAATCATTTTAAATAACCCTTTAAATCATTTTAAATAACATAATTCACACCATAATAATTGTAATAATTAGTTAATTATTTTAATATTTTATTTATTTTTTATTTATTTTATTCTTTTATATTTTTATATTCTTTTATATTTCATGTAATGATGGTATTACATGTTTTTTCCTCACTGGGTACAAACCAGTGTTATTTTAGTTATTAATATTTTAGTTTATTGATATTTTGTAATTATCATTTATTTTTTATTTTCAGTTTTCATTTTAGTTTAAGTTTTAGTATTTTTTTATAATGTGCTTTTGTCATTTTTATTAGTTTATTGTTTAGGTTTAATTTAGTTTTAATTTAACTTTTAGTTCAGTTTTGTTTTTATTTCCAGTTAGTAATTTTCAGTTAGTTGCCATTTCAACAAGCATTTTCAACATTTTAGTTTAGTTTAGGTTTTCATCTAATATTTGTATTTTATTTCAGCTTTATTTCAATTAACAAAAATGTTTTAATAGTTTTATTTTTAGTTAATAACCCTGGTACCGGGAATGTGACTGACTACTGTAAATACAGTTAAAAGTGTAAGCCAGCTTTTGTTATTTAGCATTTAAGATTATTAACAAGTTAAAAATGGCATAAATATTTATGACGCATGTATTCTGAGTAAATTAATGGTTTAAAATACATTCTGTAAACCACTGAAACACCAGCAACAATGACCACAAATTCCTTCCCTTTATAAATCGTTACATCCAGGATCCCTCCCTTTCTCTGATAAAGCTGTGTGATTCCACTAAAAAGTGAAAGCCAAAACTCTCATCCTTATATAGCAGCACCCCCTCCCTCCCCCTCCTCACAAACATACACACACCCTCCAGATGTCCTCTTCAGGAATGTCAGCACAGTCAGTCGTGATAGGAGAACAGCTTTATCTGGCGTCTTCTGTTTTGGTTTGACTATATCTGAGGGAGGAAGTTCTGCTCTGTGGTTTATTCCTGCCGCAAAGGTGTTTTATTTACAAGGTCATCTCTGTGTTGTACAAATGTGAACAGCTTGGCTTTTTTCCCTGTTTCACACATCTGTGAGGTTTCTGCCTTTTAGGGCTGGGCGATATGACGTTATTTTTTATTTATTTTTTTTTTTTATATTTTTATATTCTTTTATATTTCATGTAATGATGGTATTACATGTTTTTTCCTCACTGGGTACAAACCAGTGTTATTTTAGTTATTAATATTTTAGTTTATTGATATTTTGTAATTATCATTTATTTTTTATTTTCAGTTTTCATTTTAGTTTAAGTTTTAGTATTTTTTTATAATGTGCTTTTGTCATTTTTATTAGTTTATTGTTTAGGTTTAATTTAGTTTTAATTTAACTTTTAGTTCAGTTTTGTTTTTATTTCCAGTTAGTAATTTTCAGTTAGTTGCCATTTCAACAAGCATTTTCAACATTTTAGTTTAGTTTAGGTTTTCATCTAATATTTGTATTTTATTTCAGCTTTATTTCAATTAACAAAAATGTTTTAATAGTTTTATTTTTAGTTAATAACCCTGGTACCGGGAATGTGACTGACTACTGTAAATACAGTTAAAAGTGTAAGCCAGCTTTTGTTATTTAGCATTTAAGATTATTAACAAGTTAAAAATGGCATAAATATTTATGACGCATGTATTCTGAGTAAATTAATGGTTTAAAATACATTCTGTAAACCACTGAAACACCAGCAACAATGACCACAAATTCCTTCCCTTTATAAATCGTTACATCCAGGATCCCTCCCTTTCTCTGATAAAGCTGTGTGATTCCACTAAAAAGTGAAAGCCAAAACTCTCATCCTTATATAGCAGATCCCCCTTCCCCTCCTCACAAACATACACACACCCTCCAGATGTCCTCTTCAGGAATGTCAGCACAGTCAGTCGTGATAGGAGAACAGCTTTATCTGGCGTCTTCTGTTTTGGTTTGACTATATCTGAGGGAGGAAGTTCTGCTCTGTGGTTTATTCCTGCCGCAAAGGTGTTTTATTTACAAGGTCATCTCTGTGTTGTACAAATGTGAACAGCTTGGCTTTTTTCCCTGTTTCACACATCTGTGAGGTTTCTGCCTTTTAGGGCTGGGCGATATGACGATATTATCGTATATCGACGATGTCTCGTAAGTATCGCGATGTCGATGTCAACAGTCAGGTAGCAGACGATTATCGACATTATCGGAAAAGAAATGACAAATAATAAACCTAGTAAGTTGCAAAAAATATTTTTCCCCATAGTCACCATACAGGTCTTTTTGGATGCAAGAATGAAATAATTTAGTAGGAGGGTTGGGAATCGAAAAGCTATTCCAATTTCGGAAATCAGATCAGATGCGTAAGGTCAGGAATCAAATTACTTGTTATAAAATTACATTTCGATTCTGCTTCTCGATTTCTGTACGCGCATTTATTGTGATTTCAAAAGATTCAACTGCAAGAAGACTAAATAGAACTCACTTCTGCACTCGCGCGCTGTTTTCTGTGCTGCTCACACACACACACACACAAAGCTCATGCACAAAAGCCGCCTCTTATATACGCGAACGCTGGACTGAGCTCTCTTTCTCGCATTCTTACACATTCGAATGGACAAATACACACAAAATTATATCAAAATATCCCATAAATACAATAGGTTGTATTGTACAAGGGTGTATTGGATCCGTGCATTGACAGCAGCCGCTGCTGCTTAATCAAAGAACAAAAGAAAAGAAAATCCTCACTGATCTTGACTGAATCACTTTTGTAACCTCAGTTTATATTTTATTTGCCTGTTGTTCGGCACTGACTACTGTAATGGCAACGTGCATCTGTGTATGCGATTATTTTGGAGATGCGTTCCAATATAATTTATCCTTACAGTTTAATAAAAGTTTAATGGAAAAAAGACAAAAAGTAGTACTTCATGTATTTCTGAATATTTTTTTAAACAGACTGTATAATGATGAAAAACCACAAGCATGACAGGTATAATTAAAAGACGCAAATTCCTTCAGCGCACATTTCCGTGTAATATTTTTACAGATTTTTTAAAACCGTGTATACAATATAATTATGTTTAA